ATGTATGTATGTATGTATGTATGTATGTATGTATGTATGTATGTATGTATGTATGTATGTATGTATGTATGTGGCATTGGAAACCAACTGGAAAGAGAAAACGGGGAAGACCAACTGGAAGCTATTGAGGCACAATAAGAGATGAGACAGTCACCTAGGGCCTAGAAGTGGCCCAGGATAGACACAAGCGTGGCGTCGACTGCTCTCCACCTTGTGTACCAGGCGGTATGGGGAGATAATACATTGTTATTGTAGTGTGTTAGCGACTGTCTTGTGTTGAGGATAAGGCATGATGTGGTACAATGTACAAAGTATTGTGTATTCAACAGCTGACCTCGGTGAGATTATGAATTGTTTCCCTTACAAACACATATGCACACGCACGCATACGCACACGCACATACACACACACACACACACACACACACACACACACACACACACACACACAACTAACGATCAGAACAAAACAGTTTCCGAAGTAACAGAATGCGTGGAAGAATAAACACATCACGACAGTTGTATGCATTGCTTGATTGCAAAATAGTACATGTACAAGTACATTGGACATGGTATGACTTTTTTGTCTCTATAACATTATACAAATACATGTATAATGACTTTTTCTTTGTCCCATCCCTCCCACGAAACTGCTCGCATTGTACAATTTACCATATTGACCAGGCTAATCAATAAGTCTCATATATAATGATTATTCAGTCAAATCTGCTAATATGATTACCTTGTTGTTTTGTTTTAGTAGAGGTTTTACGGCGCTCACAACAATGATTACCTGTCCAAAACAATCACCTGTACAAACGACTACTTCCCACTCCCTTCCTTTCATTTTTTGGCTTCTATTACTTCTATCATTATGACAATGTTTAAGAGAGTCAACAATGACCTGTTTTCTTCTCGACAAAGGGTTAGTCGTCTCGTTGAACAGGTTCAGTTGTAGTCCATATCGAAGGGTTAAAACAAAGGCTTGAAGGTTGTCGTGTAATGATTTTACCACATACAATTCATCCAAAAGAGGACTAGTATTTTTCTTTTTTTCTCTCTCTTCCCGATCCCTCCCTCCCCTCCCTTCATCTTTCTCTCTCTGTCTCTCTGTCTCTCTGTCTCTCTGTCTCTCTCTGTCTCTCTCTCTCTCTCTCTTTCTCTCTCTCTCTCTCTCTTTCTCAGTCTCTTTCTCAGTCTCTCTTTCTCTCTCTCTGTATTTCTCTATACCCCTCTCTACCCCCACCCTTCTCTCTCTCTCTCTCTCTCTCTCTGAGTCTCTCTCTCTCTCTCTCTCTCTCTCTCTCTCTCTCTCATCGTCATAAAAATTAAAAGTGAGAGAAAAGTTGAGTTTTCTGTAACCTTTACTTTGGTTGGATAATCAGTACTGTAGAAGCTCACCTTGACACAATTTGTTTCTTTTAAGGACAAGCGGGCTAACCCAGGTGTCGGGGGTTTCCAGAAATCTTGACCTACATCAAAAGTGGGCATCGTTCTTGCTACCTATAGGAGAAGTTTGGTTTCGTTGGTGTGTATACATTTGTTTGGTTATAGAGAAAACTCTCTTTGCCTATTAAAGAAACCGAACGAGGATCCAAAAACTTAAACTTCGATTTTTCTGAAAACAGCATTTTTCGGAATAGCTAGCCCCCTTGTGCTTAAAAGCGATCTATTGACCAAAACATTTCTGAAGTTTCTCCTCTCATGCTGACGTCAAGATTTGTGACCACCTCAACACGCCCCACATTCCGAGAAAAAAACAAACAGCCCCCCCCCCCAAAAAACCCCATCAAAACAAGACACGACCAACAAGATCACAGTTATATGTGTGTAGTAGTAGTCCCATAAAGCTTGTTTTAATCAGTCAGAATGTGAAAGAATTTTTGTTTTGTTTTGATTAATAGGCACCTCTGTCTCCTCCGAAAATAGTGTGAATTATGTACACATAGTACATAGGCTTATATAATGTATTATAATTACGTCAATCATGTACCGGTATATATTGATTGTAGGCTTTAATAATATTGCCCTATTGCTGCTAAGTTTTTCTAATAGACCCTATATTGAAAATGCTTTTGGGGGCATTTTTATATTTTAGTAGGTATTTTTCTTTATTATACTAAATTAAATAGCTAGCCAAATTAGCAAACGGAACATTAAAATGTTCGAGTGTCGAAAATGACACAAAATTATATAAAGAATGTAAAATTGGATGCGAGTACTTTTTAGAGTTCTCAGTTCGAACATGCCTGGTATCGATACTAAACGATCCCTCTATGTTGTCGGAAATTCTCAACATCACGTCATCATTTTAGAACATGGCGGCAAAGGTCAGGAAATGAACTAACTGCTGCTCTGCGAAAGAAGGATTACTTGCGTGCTTTTTTGTATTGAGAGAAGCCTGTGCTTTGGACTTTACTTTAAAATCACCTCGCTTCTTGGGTGAGTATTTTCTATTTTTATGCAATT